CCATCCTCCGTTTATCTCCGGATGGATGGTTGTTGTAAAAAAAAAAAAAAAAAAAGAAAGGAAAAAGAGGATCGAGAATACATCGACGAAAAATTATTGGAAGGGTATAAAGGAGATATGATTCGTCTGATGAAACTACTCGGTCACTTCCAGTCCAGTTTCTCCTCCCCCTCTCTCTCTCTATTATTTTTACTCCCTTTTTGTCTCGATCGTATTTCATTGGCGCGTGAAACTACGGATATACCGCAGCAACATTCGATTCGAGATTTTTCTCACCGTTTCTTTCGGGAATATTCGATCATCAACAACAACAACAATAACTGTATCGAGTGTACTCATAGATTTACACGTATGTTCGTGTAAAAAGTTTAAAACAAGCGTACTACTTGCGGAATAAAACTCATAAATTTTACAAACGCTCCAGTTTTCTAACTACCCAATATCGCCCTTATTACTCTCCGCAAATCGGTTTATGGCGTCCGAGTTTCGCACGAGATGTTGGTTCGCATCTTGGACCAAGCCTCGTGCCAACTCACGCAAACTCCACTTTCCGTTTTCTTCATCGAACCATTTCCCCCCGTCCTCTCCTGCTCCGATAATTTTATTCAAACGGTCATTCGATTATTTTTCTTCTTCCCTGCTGCTTCACAACGTTTTATACGACTCGTATAAGGATCTTTTCGGTTTCGCGAAGCAGTTTGAAAAAGTTGCAAAGTCCCGGACCGTTGCATCACCTTTAAATTTCCGTCTCATCACGTACGCTCGTTATCTTTCTCTCTCCTCGGGCGAGAAGTGTTCTTGTGAATCAATCGAAACGTAGCGTCGGAACACACACTCAATACCTACAGTATACACACCCTTTTCGTTTTCACTTGTGATCGCTCAATATTTGCCCACTAGACCAATCGTGATCCAATTTCCTCGCATCTTTTGCCTTTAGTTACGAGCCTATATATAACTGCATATAATTGTACAATGTCTTCGATGCTTCGATTCTACCCGCCAATGCGTTATTCGTTTCCATCCGGTTTGATTAATTCGAGCGTAACCGCGGGTGGAGAAAATGAGGATCTCTCGCTTCGTTTCGGGATTAAAATCGGGAGAAAATCGATTTCCATGGTGTTGATCGAACGGAAATTTCTTATGGTTAATCAAATTCTTCTTTAAAATTAATCAGGAATAGTCGTTGGCCTGACGTTATTAATAATAACAATTGTTACTAATAATAACAAATGTTGATATATTATATATAATATATTGTTCGAGATATTAAATAGAGTAGGGAGGAAATTTTTTTCGTTTGGAACCACTATTTTTATTTAATTCAGCAAAGTTTCTTTTACCAGAAATCTTATATATATATATTATTTAGAAGTTAGAAATATCACGTGATTGAGATTTCATCTTTCTAAAAATTCTTTCCAACTTTTCATAAAATTGGGAATACAATGAAATTCGTTTGAAATACTTCGATGTAGAAAAGTTTCCGTTTTTAGATGCTTCAACTTTCAAAGAAAAAAAGAAAATTCAACGCAGGATCCTTCAATTTTCCTCATCATTAGGAGGAAGATTTCTATTTTTAATACAACATCTCAATTTTCTCAAAAAAAGGAAGAAAGTTTGTACGCAAAATTCTTTCAATCTTTTTTCTAAAATGCTTTCACAAATCTTCAACATCCTCTTTAACAATTCTCGATAGACTTCCCTACTACCCCTCTTCTTCAATTCGAAAACGAATACAAGAAAACCTTTCGACACACGCTTCCCACGAAACCCCCAAAAGAATATATCTTTATCTCGCTCGACAAAACGACCGATTGAAACAGCGAATAATTCCATTTTTCTTTTTTTTTCCCCACCCCAAGAAACTCGGCTGTATTAACCGGCTGAGTCATTCGTATTTCCATTGCAAATTAAACGCGGTCCCAATTAAATTACAACGACAGCTCGTCCTGTCAATGCTCGCGTCGACGTCGTCGAAACGCATAAATCACGCGATCTGGGTCGACCAGTCGCGGCTGACCTTGCCAAAGTGGCGGCTGCGAAATCCGGAAACATCGATAAGCGCTAACCCAATTCGGTGGATACGCAGAACTTATTATTGCACCCTTACCGTCAACTTCTCCTCAACACGAGTGGGATACACGAGTATTTTATCGCCTTTTGCCTTGCACGATGCTAACAGGATTTCGATCCAAGCGATTCGCCAAGGTTTTATCCTTGGCGATTCTCGTTATTATTGATCGCATATTATCGCTCGAAAGTTTAGTCGTTTTCGAGAGCTTTGACAGAGATTTGAGATACTTCAGCCCCAAGATGGGTCAAAGATGTTATCAAAGATGTTAAACATCGAGAGAGAAGATTTACGTTGAAATGGTTAAAAAAAAAAAAAAAAAGGGGGAAGGAATTTCTTGGAATAATATAGCAGCGTGATCTGAAATATCGATGGCATTAGAGTTTATTCGAGTTTAAGCGATATTGTGATTTTTAAAATTTAAGGGGATGCTGAATATATTATGTCTGCGAACCCGTTCCTCTTGTAAATCTTTTCCTAAAGTGACAAAGACAAAGCGTTCGCGACTTACTCGACGAAAGATGTCGCGTTCACGAGGACGTCTATCGCAAGACAAGAAGTCTCGTCGAGCCGCTTTCGTGTCGCTTTCAGGGTGTAGATAAGTTGAGGAAATTAACGAGTTTCTTCTCGAGGTTGATTACGCGTCTTAAAATCTTTACGAAACGTGTCAGGAACAATTATAAATCTTATCATCGATAAGAGATGTGTATTCTTAATTACTATAATGTAACCCTTGTTTAACCCTTATATCTCGCTTATCGTATCACGCGATATTTAATAGTTTAATAAGTTGAATGAATAAACGATACATCGTTACGAATATTACAGAATTTGATCGTAACAAAATCTCAATTGGATCCCCAATAAAGGGGGAGAAATATTATTATTTAAAACCAATGCGATCGCGGTTGAAAAATGGCTCACCTGTTCAGCACGCGGCCTAATCTTCTCCTCCTGCTCCTTGGTGAGGTCCTCGACGAGATCGTGGAGGAGCCTGATGTCTTGGGGGCTGGGGGAATCGACCCTGCCAGCCCCCACGCTCATCGCACTGTGGGGCGCCAGTTCACAAGAGTCACCAACCTCGCCCTCGGTACCCTTCTCGCTATCCTCCTCCCACCCCTGATCTTTCTCGGACCACCCCTGCTCACTGTCGGTCACCCTTTCGTCGTCATCGCTCATTTAGAGCATTCGAGCAGCTTTCATGCGATCTCGGACTCTCACAACACTTTTTTTCCCTTTTTTCACCAACGATATGCAACAGTTTTCGAAACGAGGGATCTACTCGAGCATTTCGATTAATTCATTAATTAATTAATTCTTCTTCACAATCTCTTCCGCTTCTCTTCGATATCGATGCTATTCGATATTATTTCGTTGCGAAGGAAAAGATCTCGATTCCTATCTCTTTCTTTCTTTCTTTCTTTCTGTTTCTCTTCTTTTTATTAATATTTCTGTACTTCTAAATTCAAACTCTTTTCGAACATCGTCAAATTCCCTTGTGCTTTGTATGCAAATATTTAACAAATCCAAACTTGGTTAAGTTGCGTATAGACTTATATTTTATCGATATATATATGTGTGTGTATATATATATATATTGTATAGGATATCTTCAAAAAATTTACTCGACTGAACAAAATTCCCTCGATTTAATTGACTGAGTAACTCCCTTCTTCGACTGTCATCGAATAACACTTCTCTATCCGCGCGAGAGATTCTTACAAAGATGCTCACAATGTCCCGTAGGAATCGGTGCGCTGCGAGGTTTCCGGCTTATTGTCGAGTTGAGCAGTGATCGTGCACAGAACACTTGAGGAGGATCGAAGCGTGTCTTTAAACGTCGTCGATACACGCGGCTGTCTCTCCTCCACCTCCTCCTCCTCTTCCTCCTCCTCCTCTTCCTCCTCCTCCACCTCCCTCAACGAGGATCCTCATTTTCCTCGAGAAAGGAAAAAGTCACTCCCCCCCAGAGGAGCGTATGCGTGTACAACGGCCTCGTACAGTTCCGTTTCGTCGCACTCGATTATCAAAACTCGATCCTCCGCTACGCACCCCTGCTACGCAACCGACCGATTCTCGTCATCGTTCTCGAACCTCATCGTCGAACTGGAATCGTTCCACGTATCGAATTTCCCGCGTGGACGAGGCTTTACTCGCCCGATTTTCCGCGGAGGGCATTGCGTCCCGTGCAGGCAATTGCGGGAACACGCGCGCCACTGCACGCGTCCCCGGTGCACGCGGCGGCCACCCTCGAAATATACCACCCTCGATTCTGCGCGACGTGGCCGGCCTCGCCGCACACGAAAGTGGGA